CTGTATCACGGTCACGTCGATCCACCACCTCCAGTTCATCGGCAGCTTCATCTGCTGCAGCCGCCGACCCTCCAGCCACCATCGCCCCCGCTGCCACACCTCCATCGCCCACCTCCGCTGAATCCCGCTCCTCTGCCATGGCTGAGCCAACGATCGCTGACCTCGCCAAGATGATAGAGGGCCTCACGGGCAAGATTGGCTCCCTCCAGTCCGACCTGGACGCGCTGAAGAAGGAGAAGGCGTCGTCCTCGGGTGCCTCCGCGTCGGGTGCTGGGCACGACGGCCAGCATCACACCGATCGGCCTCCCAGGTTCCAGAAACTCGACTTCCCCCGCTATGATGGCAAGTCTGATCCTCTCGTCTTCGTCAATCGATGCGAGTCCTACTTCCACCAACAGCGGATAATGGAGGAAGAAAAGGTGTGGATGGCCTCCTACAACTTGGAGGACAATGCCCAACTGTGGTATATGCAAGTGCAGCAGGATGAAGGGGTGCCGACGTGGCGCCGTTTTAAGGACCTGCTCAACCTCCGCTACGGACCGCCGCTGCGCTCGGCGCCGCTGTTCGAGCTCTCGCAGTGTCGGCGCACCGGCACGGTCGAGGAGTACCAGGACCGGTTTCAGGCGCTCCTCCCGCGCGCGGGGCCACTGGAAGAGGCGCAGAGGGTTCAGCTCTTCACCGGGGGGCTGCTTCCTCCGATCAGCAACCAGGTCCGCCTTCACAATCCCCAGACGCTAGCGGTCGCCATGAGCTTGGCGCGCGAGGTGGAGGTCATGGAGCAGGAACGGCTGGCGGCTGCCCCAGCAGTTCAGCCGGGCAGAGGAGGCACACGCGCGTCAAAGAAGGTCGAGGCTCTCGCCTGGCGCTCCGGCCCCCGGTTCGGCGGCGCTTCGCCTCAAACCATAGAGAAGCAAGCGCTGCATTGGCGTCCGGCCGGCGCCGACCGATCAAGCGGCTGTCTACAGAAGAACAAGCAGAACGTCGCCGCCTGGGACTCTGTTACAACTGCGATGAGAAGTACACACGGGGCCATAATAGGGTCTGCCGCCGCATCTTCTTCGTGGACGGAGTCACGATCACTGAAGAGGAGGAGGCGGCCGCTGCAGTTGCTCATCAGGATGCCGAGGCTCCTGTCTTTTCCTTGCAGGCCGTGGCGGGGGTGCCGGTCTGCGACACCATGCAGGTGCCGGTCGACGTGGGCGCGGTCTCACTGGTGGCTCTCCTGGACACAGGATCCACCCACAATTTCATTGGCGAAGCGGCAGCACGCCGCTCCGGACTGGAAGTGCAGCAACGTCCACGTCTGACGGCGACTGTGGCGAACGGGGAGCGCATCCGCTGCCCCGGCGTTATCCGGCAGGCACCGATCTCCGTCGCCGGCGAACACTTCCTGGTGGATCTCTATGTCATGCCTCTCGCCGGCTATGACTTGGTTCTGGGCACGCAGTGGCTCATTACCTTGGGACCGATTGTCTGGGACTTCACCGTCAGGACCATGTCCTTCACTCGGCAAGGCCGGGCGATTTGGTCGGATCGATGTAGAAGGCAGGCGCAAGCGCGCCTCCACGGCGATCGGCGGGGACAGCCCCTCTTCGACGGCCTCCTCGACGCGTTTCGGCCGACGTCTTTGTTGCACCAACAGATCGCCACCGCGCTGCGTACCCGCGACCATGCCATCACATTCTGAGCGAGCGCCGCGCCGATTCTTTGTCGCGCCTTATCGCATACCCGGCAGCCCACAAGGATGAGCTGGAGCGGCAATGCGGGAGATGATGGGCGAGGTATCGTCCGCCGGAGCGACTTCGGCGTTTTCGTCGCCGGTCATCTCATCAAGAAGCCGGACGGCTCTCGGAGGTTCTGCGTCGACTACTGTGTATACCAACGCGCTCACCATCAAGGACGCCTTTCCGATCCCGGCCGTCGACGAGCTTCGGACGAGCTCAACGGCGCCCGCTTCTTCACCAAGTTGGATCTGCGGTCGGGCTATCATCAAAAGTGCGCATGAGGCCGGAGGGCGCCCACAAGACGGCTTTTTCGCACACATGACGGCCTCTACGAGTTCCTCGTCATGCCTTTCGCCTCGCAGAACGCACCGCCACGTTCCAGCGCCATGAACGACGTCTGCGCCCTTTCTTGGCGGTTTGTCCTTGTGTTTTTGACGACATTACGATCTCTGATAGCCTCTTGGGCCGACCACCTGCGCCATGTTCGTCTTTGTGCGGTTTCGTGATCGCAGCAGAAGACCAACTCTTCGTCAAGCGGTCAAGCGCGCGTTCGCGGTGGCATCGATGGCGTGCACAGGCCATGTGATCTCGGCCGATGGTGTGGCTATGGACCCCGCCAAGGTGGAGGCCGTTCGGGGATCGCCACGCCTGGCCGGTCGGCGCTTGTGGGTCGAGGCTTCTTGGGGGTGGCGGGCTACTACCGCAAGTTCGCCCACAACTACTGGCGTCATCGCGAAGACCTCCGACGGCTATATTTGCTCAAGAAGGAGGGCTTCTCCGGGACGGACGAGGCCACGGCGGCGTTCCAGCGCTCAAGGCAGCGCATCACGCCGGGCGCCGCGTTTCAGCGCTCCCGGACTTCACCAAGCCGTTCATAGTGGAGTGCGATGCCTCCACGCACGGATTTGGCGCCGTGCTGCTGCAAGAGAACCACCCCATCGCCTACTTCAGCAGGCCGGTGGCGCCTCGACATCGCTCCCTCGCAGCATATGAACGCGAGCTCATCGGCCTGGTGCACGCTGTACGCCACTGGCGGCCGTACCTGTGGGGGCGCCGGTTTACAGTCCGCACGGATCATTACAGTTTGAAGTTCCTCCTCGATCAGCGGCTTGCGACCATCCCCCAACATCACTGGGTGGGCAAGCTGTTGGGCTTTGACTTCGGCGTCGAGTACAAACCGGGCGCCCAGAACGCGGTGGCCGACGCTTTGTCTCGCCGCGACACGCCGGAGGGCACGGTGCTCGCCATATCCGCACTTCGCTTCGACTACATCGATCGGCCGCGCCAGAGGCGAGCCATCCACCCGGCGGCCGTGGCCCTCTGGGAGGAGGTCTCGCCGCTCGCGCGCTCGCTCCCGGGCCATTATCGACGGCTCGCTCACATACGATGGCGCGTTTACGTTCCGCCGTCGCCGCCGCCGCCGAGAGCTGGCCGGCGCGGTCCATGAGGACGGCCACGAAGGGGTACAGCGCACCCTTCATCGTCTTCGCCGGGACGTCCACTTTTCCGACATGCGCCGCGTGGTGCAGGACTTTGTGCGGGCGTGCTCCACTTGCCAGCGCAACAAGTCTGAGCATCTCCGCCATTTGAGTTGCCGCTTGCGCCGCCGATCCCAACAATGGTGTGGACGGACATCGGTCTTGATTTCATAGAAGCTCTCCGAAGGTTCGAGGCAAATGGTCATCTTGACGGTGGTGGACCGTTTCAGCAAGTATGCGCACTTTATCCCATTGGCGCACCCATACTCCGCTGAAACGGTGGCACAGGCTTTCTTCGCCGACATTGTTCGCCTTCATGGCATGCCACAGTCCATCGTCTCGGACCGCGATGTGGTGTTCACTTCGACATTTTGGCAAGAATTGATGAGGCTCATGGGCTTAAGTCGCATATGACGCCGGCTTTCCATCCCGGTCGATGGTCGCCGAGGCAGCCAACAAGGTGATCACCATGTACCTTCGTTGCATCACCGGCGATCGCCCACGGGACTGGCTCAGGTGGCTGCCTTGGGCGGAGTACATGTACAACACGGCGTACCAGTCCTCGCTCCGTGACACCCCGTTCAGGGTGGTGTATGGCCGGCACCCTCCCTCCATCCGTTCTTATGAAGAGGGTGACACCGGGTGGCGCTGTGGCCAAGACAATGGCTGAGCGCGAGGCATTTCTGGAGGATGTACGCCATCGCTTGGAGCAAGCTCAGGCCATCCAGAAGCGGTTCTACGACAACAAACACCGTGCAGTGGCCTATGACGTCGGGGACTGGGTTCTGCTGCGCCTCCAAGAACCGCCAAGAGCTTCTATGTCCTTGGCGCCAAAGGGAAGATGCAGCCAGTTCTTTGGGCCCTATCAGTCACCGAGGTCATCAACGAAGCGGCTGTTCGTCTGCCCTCCCACCCCAAGCCAAGATACATGATGTGTTCGGTGGGGCTCTCAAGAAATGGGTGGGCACGCTCCAACCTCCACGCCAGCACTTTGCATGGTGCTTGATGCAGTGAAAAGAGGTGTTCAACCGTGAAATGCGTGGTACGCCTCGCCCAGGGGCATCAAACAAGTCTTTGGTCTTGCTGAAAGGACAAACAAGGCGTCTGCTTGCTACATGGGAAGATTGGGAGGAGTTCACACTAAGCATCTCATTCCAGCTCGAGGACGAGCCGCAAGTCGAGGGGGGAGAGATGTCATGTGGGGCCTCCCCTATACACGCCGAGACGAGCATGAGGGGACCAGAGAGGCGCCTTGCAATGAAGCCTTGCTGGCTATCGTGGCCACGCCCGATCTTCCGGAGGAAGGAAAGGGAAGTAGTGGCTAAGATAGGAAATAGAATTAGTTGAGATATTAGAGGAGATCCTTAATTATAGGAGATAGTTTCCTTAATTAGTTGCAAAACAGGCTATTAAGCCTTGTATCCGGCTGTAGCCGAGGAATCAATCAAGAATTCTACCGTGAACTTTCTCTCCTCTCCCTACCGCACTCAAGCCTTCGGAAGAGGGGCAAAACCTCACCGGAGAAGACGGACCAAGGCTACGATCTACGTAGCCGAGGGCCTCCTACCCTCGATACTCAGGCCCTTGACAGCTTTACATCTCAAATAATATGGTTCATATATGCAATAATAACTGATCCATCAATCACTTACCTATTCCCAAGGTTGTAAAGACCAAACAGGTGCAATTCCAACTTGTTGAAGCTGTAGAGCTCAACAAAACGTTTGTAGGCAAAAAGCGTCTGAGAAATTTGGATAATCATTAGGCAATATGATTGTATATAGGTATATGTTAGTGATTATTTGAGCTGCCCAGTTCTGTTTACCGATTCAGATGGATAATTCCTCACAGCTTTTGGAGTTGTTTGTTGTCTGGCATCATTCTTATCTGTTGATGGATTATTTGGCATCACACCTGAGCTCTCTGGCCTAGCACAGGGACCAGGAGGATTATCTTCTCTTTTAAGTGGGTTACTTGCCAAACAATATGCACCGCTGTGAGTGGAAGGAACTTTGTCGACAACTGGCATGCATGGCAAATTTCTTAAGCTTTCATGGTTTTCTGAACCAAAAGCCTGCTTGTTGGATTGCTCCGGTTCAGGTTCCAACCCAGCACGCTGGTCATGGGCAGTAAGACAACAGTTTTCACGAACAGTGCCGTCATGACCTTTGCAAATTTCACTTGAAGTTGAAAGCCTTGAAAAATCAACAGATTCTGCCTTCCCCGTAAACTGAGAATAAAGCATATCTTTATTGCCATCGCATTTTTCGTAGGTAGTGGATGCCTCAAATGGCATATCCTTAAGCTCTGTTCCAGCCATCACATTTTTAGGTGTATCATCTCGTGTGGCACCATGACCTAGAGGATGGCATTCATCTTTGTGACCATTTCTCCAGTGATCTATTTGGCATTTGACGGTGCTGCAACGAACAAGAAGGAAGTTACTTAAAAGAGTGGAAATAAGTACAAGCCTGCAAGAAGGAAGTTACTGAAGTAAAACAATTCACACAATAGAGCTCTCTGATTCCACACATAAAAAAGAAGTTACAGATGTACCCTTTTGAATTAACGATCTTAGACCTGATGCCGTATAATGTATGTTACATTATAGAGAGGAATGCATCAAATTTGTGAAACAGAAGTCCTAATGGCTAAGAGAGCTGGTTTCAAAAACAGGAGCTTCTGAGTCTGGAGCTATTTTCATCTGTAAATTTTACAATCATCCATGTCACCGGTATTACAGTTTAAAGAGGTAGGTTTCACGTTTAGTCAAGCAGCTGGGTATAGCTTTCAATGGAAGTATTGTTAATATAAGCATCACAGCTCAATGTTGAGAACAATTTGTACATGCACTAATCACTATTGGAAATTTGCGAACATAAATTGCCGCCATCTTAAAGCAACACAACAACAAAGCCTTTAAGTCCCAAACAAGTTGGGGTAGGCTAGAGTTGAAACCCAGCAGAAGCAATATCTTAAAGCAACACATTATAGTGAAATTTTGCTTGAATAAAAACGCACAATGAAAAAAAAACGGCTCTTAAGACATTGAATGCCCATGCATTTATTTTGCATCTCTATTCAGAGCACTGGAGAATTAAAGTAGCACCCAAGGTACTAAAAGTGGAAAAGCGAGGTCTCCTATTGAAATAGGGATTCAAACAGAGGTCACAAATATAACTTCATTACTTGACATATCGGCAGTTGATATTGGCTAAATATAACATATCATAGATTATCAACAAACAAAAGTTGGCAGCATATTTGAAGATTGTCTCTCTGAGATTTTATTTGACTAATCTGAAGGAGACATGAAACTGCCTGCATAATCAAATCAGTCATACTAAATCCTATTTAATCCCATAATGTCGAAGTGCTCATCAATGCAACACGCCAACACTTACAGAATAAAAGGTAATTCCTAGTAACAGATTTTGAAACAACAAGTTCCTGATTGTACAGATTGCCTGAAATGTCGAACTTGACTACAAAAATGTACAATGATCAAATCATCTGTCCAGCATAAAACTGACACCAATCGCTAAGTGATAAGCACCACAGTTCAATGACGAGAACAATTTGTGCATGCACCAATCGCTATAGTGAACTTGCGAACATAAATTACCTAGGCTTCACCTTATAGTAACACAAGAAATATTGTAAGACAAACATAACCCGGAAAAATAGAGAAATTTTGCTCCTCAAGAAATATAGTAACTCAAAAATAACCTGAAAAAAAAATCAATGTTTCATTTGATACGCTCCTACCTAAGCCTTTTTAAAATGAAAAACAAATAAAAAATGCAATTCTTAAGACATTGGAGACCCATGTATCACATATCTGTTTCGGGTAGTTGGAGAACTAGTAGCATGCAAGGTACTCCTATAAAGGTGGAAAAGAAGGTCTTCCATTAAAATCCAACTTCATAATGGGACAAATTGACATTTGACATTGGCTAAAATATAAGTAATCCGACCCTCAAAATCACACAGATGTCTTGCCAAACAAAAACTGACAGTGTAATCAAAGAGAAATACAACTACCTAGGCATAACTCAAATTACCCATGCTTAATACTTTGCAACCCCAAAATGTCGAAGCATAGATCAATGCAACATATAGACAGACAAAAAAGGCAGCCTCAACTGCCTAGAAACTGGTTTTGAATGTTAACTCGTCATTTTGTAGAATGGCTGAATTGTTGAACTTGTACAGAAATATAGACAAGAATTGAACCACCTGTCCAGCGTAAACTTCCAAAATGTGGGAATCGCTACTCGATAAATCAAGCCAAAATTCTGCTAATGCATGCCAATTCTAATGTAACTTTTATCTGAAAGCAGCATCCACGTTCAAACTCCGCTGGGCCAAAGTAGGCACTCGGAAATGAAATAACTGATGAAATAGTAAGGTTATCTTAAGAAATTATAACACAAGTATCAGAGAGGCAATGCTGCCCTCGGCCTATCCTTGCTGAGCAAATAACTTGTGGAACAATAAGCAGTCGGGGGTAAGCCACTAGCCTGACACGCTTGGGACAAAAAAAAATGATTAGGGGAAAACAAACAATTCACACTATAAGTCCACTGACATTGTACTAAGTACCAACCCCTACAAAGCACCAAAACTCCCTAGTGCAAAAATCAAGCGCCCGTCGCGCAATGCGGCAACGTATGAATCAAACAGGAAACAAGAATTTCATCAAGAGCAGGACGAGAGCTCACTGACCAGTACTTGACACTCTTGCATCGCTTGCACCGGAGCGTCGTTGGCTTGGAGCACATCGCACAGACGCCCTTCCCCACCGGAGGGGAGGCCGCAACCGCCGCCTCAGCCTCCACCTCCTTCGGCGCAGGGGCCACCTCCTGCGCCTGCGTCGTCCACAGCGAAGGTACCTCCGGCAAGTAGTAGGCCATAGTAGTAGACCGCCGCCTCCTTCTCGATGGTCTCCTCTTCCGCCGCCGCGAGCAACGCGAGGCGGTGTACCTCCTCATTCCGCGCCTCCATGCGCTGCAGCCACCTGGTGGCCAGCGCTCCCAGCGCCACGAACGCCAGGGCGGCCACAAGCGCCACCGCCTTGGGCACCTCCATCCCCGGAGGAAGCTCGGTCGGACTCTCAGAGTCCAACCCCGCTTCAGCGGATCCTCGTCGAGCACAGCAGCAGCCTTATATACCCGCCCCCCGCAAGCGCGAGCCGCCGCCGCCGCCCGCGGTGAGGAGAGGAATGGGTGGGGGGAAGGGATTTAGGGATCGACGGGGCGCCCCCCTCTCGCCCTCGCCCTCGCCCCCTTATGATGGCCCCGGAGTAGTAACGGAAGGCGCGGAAGGCTCCGGAAGGCGGCGAGGGGGGTGCTTGCCGCGCGTCGGCGTCCGTTTCCGGGGCTCTCCCTCCAGCCCAGAGAAGGGTGGCGTGAAAACGCGAGGGGGGAGGGAGTAGCCAGGCGCGCAGGCCAGCCAGAGAGACCCAGCGGGGAGTGCGGTAGTAACGGCTGTTTTTCTCCCTTTCGGCGCGTCGCGGAGCGAGAGCGAGCGAGCGGCAGCCGCAAGGGCGAGGGGAGCGCCGGCGCCGCAAAGCATCGGGTTCCCCCGCGGTTGCTGTGGGCCGTCCGATGGCCTGCGGACGGCGGAAGGGACCGTGGGAAACTATACAGGGGTGTTGTTGGCTGCCCGTTGGTTCCCGGCCTTCGCGCGACCGGCAGAACTAGCAGGTGGATTGATTGTTTGATGGCGCTGTAGACTGTTGTTGACTGTAGAGAATTGCAGAATTTGAATTTTCATTTTTTGATTTGATGATGAGAGAGTTGCAGAATTGGAATTTAGCAGGCCATTTTTTAGTCCAGATAATAGTTAGTACGGAGTAGTATAGTCATTTAATAATGTTTCCAAAAATGCAAGGGGTAGAATCAGCAATGTTTAATTGACTACTAGTGACGTGGAGTACAGTTGTATTATTACTCTAAGATTTGAGCAACCATCATTATTCACTCTGTGATTTGGCAGAATAATAAGTCTCAGTTATTAATACGTCCAAAGATTTGCATATCAAGGAATAAAGGAGTGCTAGCAAGTCTAGCGGTCCTGGGTCATGCTCAATGTTTGGTTACATGACGAGATTATTTGAACTAGAGACTGACGTGATTGTTTTCCTCACAATCGCAAAGTTCTCGATGGGGCATCCCGTAGGGAAAAACGTCAGTCTCGCATCAATGTCGAAAGACCTTTCTTCATTGTTATTAGTCAGTAGATGAACTTCACATTATTCTTTTATGATGAAAAAAAAAAGAACTTCACCTTTTTAAGTGCATAGAAACGATAACATATATCCTAAAATATTTCGACCCTACACGAAAGCTCCATACGTCTAACACAAGATCATGATCCTAGATCCGACGTAGCAATTGATATGAATTATTACTATTTAAATGATTTAAAGTTAAGGTGGAATGAGAATAATATGAATAAGTCCTCCACGGGTAAGAGCAGCTACAATGTTTGTTTTTAGGTGGTGCTATTATTGATTTCAAAGGTTGCTTCACGTTGGAGCTTGGGTGTGCTAGGAAGCACCATTTTAGTTGGGGGTGCTTGCTTTTGCACTTGATATTATGGTCTGTTCGCTTGAACTTATCAGCCGATTTATCAGCTAGAATCTATAGTATTTTTCTCTCACGACAAAAAAAAACTTCAGCCGGCTTTAATACCAGCCGAACAGACAATAGTATTTTCTGTGTCGTCGTCATTTGACCATTGCAAGTTGCAGGTAGCCATTGAAAACACAAGCGTTCAACAAGTAGCAACTATAAATATGCATACAACTCTAAACACAATCAATCAAAATTAGAACCAGTGGATTTGTTGACTTAAGACTACTAAAAATGGTACATTTTTGTCGAAGTCTTCTCTGTCGAGCTTTGGGTCATGTAAAGGCTTTTCTAACATTGTTTCTTTGATAGAGAACATCTCATGTGTTACCATAACGCATGCGCCTCTTTCTATCTCTATCTCTATATTTGTATTTATATTTGTATCTATATTTGTATATGTATTTGTATCTATATTTATATCTATATCTATATCTGTAACTATATCTATATCTATATCTGTATCTGTATCTATATCTATATTTATATAGCCCGTGCGCGCTGATGAAAATGTTCATATACACACATGCATACATAGTCGTTGTCACTCCTATGAAAACGCTCACGCCATCCACCCCTATGCAGGGACGGATCCAGCGATGGGGCGGGTAGGCGGGGCTCTAGCCCCCCCTACGGCCGCTGGACCCATGGAGCCCTCCTAGAATTTTTTGCAATGGATGCACCTTGAAGAGAGACTGAAGCTGTCGAGATTAAAGAAGCCCCCCCTGTCCCTGCCCCTATGAGCACCTAAGAGAGACTAACCTAGCAAAGAGTGGAATAAAACCAAAAGAATGCGAGTAGCCATGCCAAGTCAATGATTTAAACCTGGGTACATTTGTACGTTAAATCATGCACATAATTTGACAAATTATGAGTCATATAAATTTGACCTTTTTCAACCTAATAATAGGCCCTATAAAAAGAATCAGAGGGAGTAGAGCAGGGGTTGAGACCGACCTATTTGTCAATGGCCAACCGATCCCAATCAAATCCGTAGATTCGTTAATACTCCTTCCGATCTAACGCGTAGTCTGACATAGTACTGTCTCCAAAATTACATTGTGACCATTAAGTTATTATTATATTATTTATGGTTATAAAATTATAGAGAAAATTATTCCTTGGGCCTAAAAAAAAGTTATACTTACTTCCTTGGCCCTTTCTGTTTTGAATGACCATTAAGTTATTATTATATTATTTATGGTTATAAAATTATAGAGAAAATTATTCCTTGGGCCTAAAAAAAATTGTACTTACTTCCTTGGCCCTTTCTGTTTTGAACTCCCCTATTTGGCCCTAAAACGAAATTCGTTTTCTTTCTAAGCCCTTCCGTTAATCCGTTAGGTTATACCGTGAACCAGCCTTTTGGAGCAACGCAAAAAGACCTAAATGCGACCTTTAGCATTTCACTTCATCAACGCATACGAGGAGAAAGGCGACAACGGTGCCCGGATGGGCTAGCGCGGTCATCGCCGACTGCTGCGACTGGGAGTACTACGGTGATCCTGCGATCTTGCTATCATCCAGGCACTTGCTTTCCAGTCTCCACAGGTTAAGATCCCCGGAGGCCACCAAGGACTTTCCTGATTCCAGGCACGTTGGTGCTGTATATCCATCCATGCATCGTCTCTTTCAAGATATCTCTAGAGCCGGATTTCTTATGGGGAATTCTTGTAAAAATAAATCCATGCTGGGAAATTCTTGATAGTAGATAGTTTGAAAGGCCTGTACAATGAGGTGATTGTACTTTGCCTTTAGCACCAGGGGTAAAATGGTAATCGTACAAGTTAACATCGCTAGAGCCTCAAACTAACTGAAGGGCCAAGAAAGGAACCGGATTTCGTTTTGAGGCTAAATGGGGAAGTTCAAAACATAAAGAGCCAAGAAAGTAAGAACAACCTTTTTTCAGGGCCAAGGAAGTAATTTTCTCAAAATCATAAGTATTGGATAGCATATTATTACAAATCTAATAGTATTAAGTTTATATTAAAATAGTTAAAAAATTATTGGCCAAATTATCGGTCAAAGTTTATAAAGTTTGACTTTGGTCTATGTGAAATGCCTTACAAACTGGACCGGAGGGAGTAAATCATTGTTTGATTCAAGGCTCACCCTACCTGTAGTGGAGAAGATCCGTTGACTTTATTGCCTAGTTTTGCCGGATAGATAATATCATAGTTGATGTCTCAATATCTTTGTTAGGTGCGACATTAGCATGGCTTCTAAAATGTTCCCACTTTATTCACCAAAGGCTGCTGGCCTCTCCTTACCTATTTGGCATGATGATATCGATGAGAATGATCGAATGAGTGCTAGAGGCGCCCCTTGAGGGCACCACCTGCTGTTGGCCCCTAGGCTATAGGCTAAAAGGACTAGTCCATGTAGGAAGCTGTGCTCTTTAGCCAACAGACTTCCATCGCAGGCAGCTTTGTTTTTTTACTCATCTACCATCCCATCACATCCCTTTCAGATCTATCTACTGCTCTACTTTTTTTTTTCCATGGACAACAATCCCGACACACATCTGATAGTAGGGCCTTGTTTAGATGCCTCCCAAATTCCAAGTTTTTTCACTCTCTCTCCATCACATCAATTTTTAGCCGCTTCCATGGAGTATTAAATGTAGGTAAAAAAAATAACTAATTACACAGTTTAGTTGGAAATCACGAGATGAATCTTTTGAGCCTAGTTGGTCCACGATTGGACAATATTTGTCAAATAAGACGAAAGTGGTACTATTCATCGGGTTGAAATTTTTTCGCAATCTAAACGAGGCCTAGCATTCTTTTGACTGACGAGACCACTATATCTTCTGCCGGCCACTCTGCGTGCCTGCGAGGCTATTAGTCTGCTTGACATGGATGTTTGGCGCCAGCGTGGAGCTTGGGGCAGCACGCCACGTCTCTGCGTCGGGGAAGCCCTAAGGTCGAAAGGACTTTGGCTTTCAGATAGCAGATAGCTCGCTTTGTGTTCTTGTTCGTTGTAGCAAGTGAATTCTGCATGTAGTTGAATTTGGGGCCTGTTTAGTTCCTTCCAAAACATCAAATTTTTCAAGATTCCTCGTCACATCGAATATTTAGACGTATGCATGAAGCATTAAATATAAATAAAAAATAAAACTAATTACACAGTTTAGACGAAATCTACGAGATGAATCTTTTAAGCCTAATTAGACTATGATTGGACATTAATTGCCAAATAACAACGAAAATGCTACAGTGTCGTTTGCCAAAATTTTCGGCAACTAAACTGGGCCTTGGAAGAATTTGTTGTTGCGGTTGGCTTGACAGATATTGTTGACTGGATGTTGGCGTGGTGCTTTGTTACGTATAGGAATATAGGACCAGCTGACAGTTTTGATAAACCGAATCTGAACTACTTGTAGTGTCACTTTGTCAACCTGCCCGTTGCATTTTTGGCGGGAAAGATGGTAGCTTTTGATCTGGTATTATGTACCATTCTAGCTATGTTGTTCGTGCCACTACTGCTAATATAAGGTTCCAGCCGAGTGAGGAGGGTGCAGAGGAGGACACCAGCATCTTTGTTTCCGTGACCCTTGCGCAGAGCCGAAAGAAGCCATAATTTATGGCTATGGTATTTAGATATAAAGGCGCACTGAATAGACGGCCTTCCAGGGTGTCTACGTACGTTCTATTTAATTAGTGCATTAGATAGAAATTCCACGATTCAGATAAAGCGCGTCACAACTAGTCTTTCTCCCTGCGTTCAGCAGTGGATAGATCAAACAGGTGGACGCATTCAATGAAATAGATGAAAAATTAAATAGCCATACATGCCAGGACAATGTACTTTGTGTGCCGGCGGATGCAGAGGCGTCGGCAGACCTGGGCTCCACCATGGTCCTCTCATGTAAAATGGTGGTCCTTCCTCTCTCTCTCTCTCTCTTGTAAATGGTAGGCGGCAGCGGCTGCTTGCTCCTCTACTCCCTCCCTCACTCTCCCTCACTCTCAGCAGCGGCGCAGGAGTTCTGGCGTGGGCAGGCAGGTGCGGCGCAGAGGCCACGGGCACAAGAGGCCCCCAGCGCGGGCGAGGCCTCGCTCACGCTGCCGGCGCGCGCCCTCACCTAGAGCGGGCCCCACGCAGAGGTGGCGCGGAGGGTGGGAGAGAGCTGCGCAGGCAGGCGTGGTGACGCTGCCGCTGGCTGGTCCAAGGCAGTGGCCACGCCACGAGCACAGAGGAGGCCCCTGCCCCATGGCGCGAGGCCTCGCTCATGCCGCCGGGCGTAGCGTCGTCCTCACCTAGGGCCGGCCCCACGTGGAGGTGGCGCGGAGGCGCGGACGGCACGGGCCGAGCACGCGGCGCGGCGAGCAATGGCGGGCTCCCACGCGGAGGCGGAGGCGGCGTTGCTGCTGCGGCGCGCGGTGGGGGCCAAGCAGCTCGTGTCGGCATCATCGCACCTACTCTTCCGCGCCACTGCGTCGCCGCCACGCTCGCGCTGCTGTGTTTCTTTCGCTGCGTGCACTACCGTCCCTCGCTCTCCCACTCCTTCAGCCTCTCCGCGTTGCCCGCGTCCGCTCCTCCTCCTCTTCCTCCTCGCCCGCGCTCGGCACTTCTGCACCGGAGCTCGCTAGGCTCGGGACATCGTCGTCAGACGGGTGGGGCGCGGCGTGGGGCGGAGGTGCGGCGCAGCAGCGAGCCGCGGGCGGACGGGCATCGTCTGTGGTCGCCACGGCGCGCCATGAGCTTCGTGGTCAAGATCGTGGCTGGCGCTCGCGCCGCGGCGACGGCGCAGCGTCTTTCGGGCTCGACAACTTCAATGCCTACTACGACCCGTCATTGAAGCTTGCGGCAGCGGCGTCTCGCCTGGTGTGCCGTGGCGCGTGGTGGTCTTTGACGCCGACATCAACGACGCCATATTGTTGAGCGGCTCCTCTCGTGGTGCCGTTCACGCACGTGGTTGCACCTCGCGGCCCACGCGGCGCGCGGCGCGACGACGACGCGGACGCCGCGGCGTCACGGGCCTCCAACGCCACGACCCTCGTCGCGCTATTCGAGGCCGCGGCAAGGCACACCGACCCGCAGCCGGCGGTCGTGTGGGCGTCGTCGTCGTCGTTGTATGGGCTCAACATCGAGCCGCCTTTCCCGAGGACCATCGCACGGGCCGCCCAGCATCAGAGCGCGGCCACCAAGAAGGTGGCGAGGCCATCGCAAGACGCAGACAACCACATCCACGGGCTCTCCATCACCGCCCGTGATTCTTCACCACCGCTCACGCCCATGGGGATGCTCTGACATGGCCTACTTCTCATTCGCCCACAGCATCATTGCCGGCGAGCCCATCACGCTGTTCCGCACTGCCCACGGCGCCGACGCGCGTCGCGGCTTCACCTACATTGACGATGTCGTCAGGGGCTGCCTCAGTGCACTCGACACGGCCGGCAAGAGCATGGGCTCCAAGTCTGGCAAGAAGCGCGGGCCCGCGCTGCTCCGCGTGTTTACATCTTAGTACATCGTATTTTACTATTTTAGTTTCGGTGTAAATTTGATTTACAGTTGCTGAAAGTAACATTAATGGTCTGACAATGTGTGTTCTTGTAATTTATCGACTCGACCACCGCCTGGCACATGGACCACAACAAGTGCTGTTTTCGTAGCTATACCAGGAGCCTATCGCAACTCGCAATGAGAAATTTGCAAGGCTGTGTAATCGCAATCATGCATGCACCACTCGGGCCTAACGTGTTCATACCAATGCACTGCATCCGACATTGGTAGTATGCGCTGCCAGATTGGTGGCGTGCCTGAGGTGCGTCTCATTGGAGGTACCTACTGTTAACGGTACCAACATTTACTCAAGTACCCCATCCTTGTCGTGCATATAGTTCACCTGCCCATGGGTTCATGTCCACCGGCAATACTACACGTGCCCAGGCTTCTCTATTTATATGGCAGGTTGATTTTTTCCCCTGACCCTTTGGAGCTCAATTTTGTTTGGGTGGGGGGTGGGGTGGGGTTGTGTTGCTTCTCAAGACCAATTAACTTCTTCCCCTTCTGTACAGTGCTTCCTTGTTAAGGGATGGAAGGCTGGGGCTAGCTGGAGCTTCGTAACTGGAAATGGCCAAAGTTACTTGAATAGTTACCTGAATAGTTAGTTCAAAAAAGAATTAAAATATCTAGAATAACCTTGCCAGTATAAAAATTGGGCCGCGTAAGCACGAAGAAGTGACGTGACAACTTTCCGTGCCTTTTACTTGCATGACACACAAACATAGAAAGGGATGGCCCCCCCTTCTGTGTGAGCCACGGAGGGGGAAGGGTTCCCCTGATTACAGGATGTTGGTAGATTTTTCTTTATTTTCTTACATTATTTGTTTATTTGTTGAATTTAAAAAAAACGATAAATCAAAGGGTCAGATTGCTTTGAAGTATTATTACCTCTTACTAGGTAATGGGTGCAGCGTACCATAGCATTGCCCACTGAAATCTATTCTCATGTTTTAATATTTGAGCAAATAAGGCCACTCATGGATCCACGACAACATAGAAGTAAGCTGTCTCTCTCCATCGTTAGCTTGATCCATCAGATCCTAGCAACTACGCATTGTGCTGCTCCGTCCCTTCACAAACCATTTAGTGGGACATAAAAAATTAGAGCTTCGCTGGTAACATAGGCATGATAAGTGTCAAGAACTCATCATTAGCTACAATGTTTGTACATCTATTGCACTCCAAATATCATGTCTCAAGCGACTATCCTGATGTGCGCCCATCTGCTTATGAAAACCTGGGGTTGGTGACGATTGGCCGGTGCCTTCAAAGTTAACAATGTCCCATACCTGCAAGTTGGCCAAAGGAGCGCGTATTGTAGTGGATCCATTGCATCCATCCGAGCGGTTCTTATCAGCTCTAGACTTTAATGACACGTGATTCACCAATGGACTAAGCAATGCAAAATTCCAGAAAATTAATCAAAACTGAAGTTACCGATCTCAATACCCAAGCATGAGATGCATGTGCCAGGAAGTCAGCTCTTACCAGGTTTGAACATGGTGTGTGGTTGTGGATATCACCAACAGTTGTCCCAAGCGACTATCCGATGTTGTGGGGACAGTTAATGTAGATAAGACGTTGACTGTTGGTAGTAGTTACCTAGAAGCTAGAGGCAGAGAATTCTAGCCAAACCAAGGCCTTATTAGTGTTAGCTCACCTGTTGATCATTCAATTAGATACTAAATGCAGTGATGGAATTAGATGTGAAAGGGATCAGAAATTAGGAGATTTTCTTGACGGACAAAAGCAAAAAGTGATCAATAAATGGCACAGAGTCCTGTGGTGTTTATCATCTTGCAGGCAACCTTAAAGTCCTAATATAATTCCCATGTTAGTTCTATCGCCTGAAACATAGGTACACGACAATAGCTGCCATGAGGCGTTGCACGCCTGTCATCTCATCTCACTCATATTAGACACATTCCCTTGGTGGTTGTACGCGACATGCAAATGGACGGTGGCGCGTATCAGGGGACGGTGGATTCTCATCATGCATGGTCGGTGCCTAATTAGCATGGTGGTCGGCACGCATGCGAGTACGCGTGCGTGCATGCTGCTGGGGCATTGCTTGCTTTGCGTGTATGCATGAGCTATCTGTTTGTGTGTGTGGTTGCACTGCTGACACTTGGTCTCTCTCTCCACGCGGTGGCATTTTTCTCTATCGAACAACAGTGGTTATGAGTGTGTGTTCAAAAACCGGTGGTTACGAGTGCTTGTCTGCTTGCTGCAGCATTTGCCTCTGCTGCAGTATGGGTGCATGTAGCATGGTCGGCAAGGTGGTCAGGTGCATGTTGCTTTCTGCAGGGACTCGTGCCCATAACATCACGTCAGCTCGCTCCTATATATGCAAACCATATTACATCTTATTATATTATTTTTTACTATTTCAATTTAGGTGTAGATTCGATTTACATTTGGTGTAAATTCATTATTCATAACTGGAAATGGCCAGAATTACTTCGAATAGTTATCTGCTTATTTTTAGCTTGCCTTATTTTTTGTGTGTTTAATTTTGGTTGAATCTGTATGCCTTCTATGTAATCTTACTTTGATGGCCCGCTAATGTGCCTTTCATAGAACTTATCTGTCCAAACTGTTTTTGCCCTGTGCTTTTCCCTTTTATTTTTTTTTTCTAATTTGCCTTCCATAGAAGCGACCTGTTTACTTTGTGTTCTTTTCCCTATGTTTTTTTGCTTTGAATTTGATCTATTTTATTTAGTTCATTGGATGTGGATCTTGTGGTTATGGGAATCGAGTGATGTAGAGCCTTGAATCCCTCGATTTGTTTTGTTTGCTAGAATCGAGTGATTTAATGTGTTCTGTCACTCGGGTGACAAGAAGGTGTAAATCACCTGACTTATCAATAGACAGACTAAAAAAAAGGTACAAAAGATGTTGGGATCAAGGTGCTGTATAGATAGCCAACAGAGCATCATTTGCGTGCTGAAAAGCTAAACATATGGATGACATACCGGCAGTGCACGTGCGCAAGTGGCCCATGCGATGCGGTAGCCCGGCCCCTACCTAAAACAGGATCTAGGTTGCGGTATCCATATATTACAAACGTTGATAGACATGCACCAACGTATCTAATTACAATAATATGTTCTACATACCGGCCCTCATCTGTACGCTCCTCCTCCCCCACTGCGTATGGCTCAATAAAATGGCGCGCGTATCGGGCTACCCTTGCTTGATGTCCTCGGAAGCGCTGCGACCTTATTGAGTGAGCAGCTAGATTCAGCGGCATCCTCCAGCTTGAGTGTGCACTTTGGCAGCCCAGCGTCCTGTGCCGTGTGAGTTGCAGTTGCTTGCTACATAACAACGATTCAAAGAAATGATCACTAAGCTTATGACCATAACTGTTTTTTGAAAAGAAAAGAAACAGGCACCTACGTGTTTGCACCCAATGGAGCAAAACCTGTATGCACTCTTGAGTCTCCGTCTGCAGCCAGCACATGCAGGCATCATGAGGTACCGAAGCTTGGCCCTAAACACGGAGCCTTTATTACCAGACCATTTCTTGAGGTAAACCACTTTATACTCGTTACAGACGTACTGTTGCACCTCAGATATGTCAATGAGGCTCGACACATCTCGTACATGTACCACGTCTCTCGTTGCTTTCTTTAGCACCCGCACGATGAGTTAGGCGGTTATTCAATTAAACATGAGCTACTTAGGGATGGCCATAAAGGAAGGCTTAGGGTTGTCTATAAAGGGCGAATCCTAGAACCTGTAGGGTCCGGTGGGATACATGGTCTACTCGGCAATGTAGGCACAAAGCTTCTTGATGTAGTCCTTGGCAATCCAGGCAGATGTAGTTACATGCTCTATGGTGCAGTGGGCATGGCTAGCAAAACTGGTTGCCAACCAACGCTACCATGCGCTCAGCACTTAGCATGGTGCACAATGTTTGTTCTAGAATCCAATAAGGGAACTCGATTCACAGGATGCACGAACTGTCTGCGCACTGCGGTCCTGAGAATGGCTACTTAATGGACTTGGATGGCATTGCTATATTGGACAAACTAGACTGCACCATAAATGACAGTGGTATACTAGACAACCTGTACTGTCTCATAAATGTGGACTCGGGAAGGGATTGGTGACCTACCCAGGTGGTATACTGGGCAACCTTTGCTGTGCCATAAATGTGGACACAGGAGGGGAGTTATGACCTACCTAACCATACCTTGTCCTATTTCTTACAGCTGCCTGCATGGTGTGTTCCTATTTCTCGTTCCGTCTGCCTCATGCAAGTCATTGTTACAATCAGCTGAAAAAAATAGCGGAGTAGCTCATAGTTAATTTTTTGCATGTAAAGGAATACAGTGGCTTATAGTGGCTTTCCTACGTGTAAAGTAATATCTGGTAGTAAATTTATATATAAGGAAAGAAGAAACATGTGGTGTAAATTTCTCCTACTGTAGTAACTATCTTACCTGGGAAGGGCGGCTGATTTTTTTGTGTCCTTTTATGCATGGCCCATCAGTTGTTCATACACTTCATTGGATGCGTTTTTTTTTGTAGTCCTCAGACCCTCCACAGGGACACATTGATCGCATATGCGGCTTCCTCTCGCCGACCAAGAAAGAGGCAGCATGGCCTATCGATGCAACTGGGTCGTAATTAAAATGCTCGAAATCTTAGCAAGTGGTGTACTCCTCTTGGATTTGAACAGGCTGCTCTGGTACTATGAATATGCTGATTTTCGTGAGCCTGCTGCCTGCTAGATTGCTGGCGGGGAGGAGAACAAGGGCAAGATGGTTGTCACCATGCTCCCGAGCGGTGGCGAGCGGTACATGAACTCCGATCTCTTTGCAGATGTCAGGGATGAATGCAGTGCCACGACCTTCTGATGTCTTGGGCTCTTTGGACGGTTTGCAAGAAGTATGTAAGTTCTGCGTCCGGCATCGATTGGATTGTCAAGTTTCTTGCTTCCACAGTGATTCA